GCTCGAGCTAGCACCTAGCCAGAGCCACTGCCGGAGCTGCCTCGCTGCTAGTCTGAATCAAAATATACGCCGAATCTACACTACGGCACTACGGCACAACGGTGGCTAATGATCGGCTAATGATAATTGTCCTTGTTTCTTGCACGTGGCCCCATATGATCACATGTGCATACTTCTGCTTCTGTATTCTCGGCAGACTCGCATGGCATCTCACCACAGTCTCGTCGCAAAATGTGAGTCGCATCGCACCTCCCAAAGGCGAAAGCCGAGCGCAGCTGGCTTTGCGTATATACAGGCAATGATGTCATGGTCGCGCTTGACCTTCTCAGTCTACGACGCTACGACTACGAGTCCACGACTCTACGACAAGTCTGCTGCTCTGGTAACACATGGGTCACAGGTTCTGGGGATTCTGGGGAGACTCGCTACTGCCGCTACTCAAGGGGCCTATATGGTATTAGGGCCTCTGACTTCTCTGATTCTTGCAAAACACAATGGCCTGCGACAATGGGAGATCTGAGATGCCTGTGCTAGTGACTCGTGCCGGGGTCCTGGGGCTCCGGGTTAAAAACCTGGGACCTAAAGCTTCATATTCAGAAGTCCTACCTACGGCTAAAACCACACCCACCATTCCCGGACCCTATGCGTGTTCATTTCTCGTATACCGATCCGACTCTACCTGTAAACTGTAGACCTGTAGTCTCCAGTGCAGTTCCATTTTGTGGTTGAACAAATTTTGTATTCAGGATTCTAGATTCTAAAAGGCATACGGCATAAGTTAACCCCAAAAAGGAACAACACTGGAGACTATAGGTATACTTTATGACTCTATGCTATACCCAGGCCCACAGAGCCACATCCTACTGCGTAGGACCTAGGCCGACCTGACCTACCCGACCCGGACCTACCCGACCTAACTGGACTTAACTCAAGTTGCAACACTAGTCAAAGTCCCAGGACCAAGGAATCAGGAAAAACCCGCAATGACCGACACTTCGCTCCACATGCCTGGCTGGCCACTGGGCTTGCGGCTTGAAACAAGCCCGTTTTCAAGATCCCTTGGCAAAAAAGTCTACTCAGTATGGAATGTCGGCCATGGATTTCATCTCGACCCGATGGATGTTAAGTGTTCGGCTCCGGCGCTGGACTCAAACAAGAACAATGTCCTGAGGCCTTAGGGCTTAGGCAGAGGGCTTGGGGCTCGGCTAGGGTTTGAGGCTTAAGGCTTAACTTAAGGGTGAGCATAGCAGCAGCACAGCGGCATTGTGAGATATGACGGCCAACGCTAGCGGCTACTAGGGCCTAGGGCCTAGGGGCTGAGCAATTTAATCAATATACTCGGGCAAAGCTACGATGGCTAAGACTTAAGACTTAAGACTAAGACTCAGACTTGATTCATGAATCGCCGCAGCCACACTAAGTCACCAGAGCTGGCATGGGAGGCTGGCCTGGGCCATTGCCTCTGCAAGACTCAAAGACTCGAACCGGCAGACGAGATGGACATGCAGAGTTGCGGCCACGGTCACTACAGCATTGCATCACTACTACATCACTATGTCACCTCGCAAGAGTCACTACACCGACGGACTACACTTCACTACACACTACACTCGTCACTAAGTCACTAGGACTAGGCGCCGCTACACTACACGACACATTCACTGCCGCGACAACTCCGTGGCCTTTGCCACAATCTTCGGATGAAGCAAACGCTTGTAATCAAGCTCCACGGCGAACTTGTTGTTGGCCAAGCGTTTCAGCTGGCTGCTGGTCTCCTGCACATAATTTTGGTCCATGATGGCTCTGACAAGGAGCGCCTCGCCGGAGGTTGCCATAGAGCTTGCCAAGATCAGCCTGGCATGGGCCACATTCTTTGGCCACTCCTCTTGGGACACACTGTAGCGCTCCAGGACCGCCAGCATAGCCTGGTACGCGGCTTTGGCCGGTTTGAACAAGTTGGCGATCTGGGGCTCCACATCCTTGGTGAAGACCTCTTGCACCCACCGCTTTGCTGCTTCAATCACATTTGAAGCACCCTCCTCGCCCTCGGCCTGCTCCGCCTCACCGGACAGGAAGACATTCTTCCACTTTTTGCCATCCGAGCAGCCATACGCAAACTTCTCAAGCTGAAGAAGGTTCTCCTGAAGCGTGGTCTCCGCATTCTTCAAGAGCACCTGTTTGCATTCCCCGATGCCGCTTGCCACGCTTTCATGCAAGGCTTTCAAGTTATTGATGCCCCGCATCGCCACGTCTCTCAGCGACGCTGCACGTCCCTGAAAAATGGCGTCGGACTTGGACTCGGAGGCGAAGTCGGACAAACACTGCTCTGCACGAAGGTTGGCCGCAATGATCTTCTGCTCCACAAGCTTGTAGCCGTCGTGAACGATTTTGGCCGCAGTGTCCTTGCCGAGCTTCTCAAACTCTGTCGACGCCACACGTAGGTTCGCCGCATTGATGAAAATGTTCGCCAATGCACTCATGGCTGTCTCGTCGTTCTTCTCGGGCAAATGAGCGGCCAAGCTTTCACAAGGTCGTGCAAACTTCAACATGTCTGCAGGCTCGGCACCCGCGGCGGCCGTCAACAAGTGCTCAACTGTTGCGAAGGCAGCCTCCAATGCAAGTCATGCACCGCTTCTAGCGACTATAGGTCCGGTAAGCACACGCAAAATCAATGAATCTAGTCCGGCCTCTCTAGACTCTTAGACTCTATGAATCTAGACTCCAGCAATGATCTCAATTCGTGCTGCTGCTGGTTTGTAGCGACACAACGGACACCAACATGTGAAATCATGGCTCCATGACAGTATATACGTGTACGAACATTTTTTATAGCTGCAAGCTCCTGCTCCTCCTGAGGTCCCAGTCCTACTCAAGATTCCCGGTGCACTTCGCGCATTAAAGTGCTTTGGGGTTCCAGGTTCTGGAACTCTGAAATTCTCCGTGGTTAGGTGGGTCTGAAAATTCCCTGTCTTTCTGGCCCCTATGATTTTTTACGGTTACCTTAGATCTTCGGTTTCACAGATGTAAGGCATGCACCTCGCAGAACGCCGTGGAGTATGTGGTGGATGCTCTTTGTGTGGGGGACGGGGTGAGGGTGGGGCGTGGACTTCTGTCTGGGTTGGGGTTGGGCCGGTCTGGGGGCGTGGGGTGGGGTGGTGTGGGGTGGGGTGGGGTGGGCTGGTGTTGGGGTATTGGGGTGTTGGGGTGCTGGGGTGTTGAGCTGTTGGGTTGGGGTGTTGGGGTGTTGGTGTTGGTGTTGGGGTGCTGGGTTGTTGTGGTGGGGTGTTTTTGTGGGTGCGGGGTGTGGGGTGTGGGGTGTGGGGTGTGGGGTGTTGGGGTGTTGGGGTGTTGGGGTGTTGGGGTGTTGGGGTGTTGGGGTGTTGGGGTGTTGGGGTGTTGGGGTGTTGGGGTGTTGGGGTGTTGGGGTGTTGGGGTGGGGTGTTGTGGTGGGTGTGGGGTGTGGGGTGACTGTACAGGAAACGAAATTGTCCCCAAATGAATTTGTTTTGGACAGCTATACGAAGCACTTTGTGGTGTGGGGTGCGGCCGGGGTGGGGCGGAGTGGGTGGGGCGGGGTGGGGTGGGGTGGCGCGTAGGGGCGTAGGGTGGGGCCGAGAGTCGAGAGTGAGAAAAACCTGCAAAGTCGAGAACTTCATACTTTCTGCTGCGGGTGGGTGCTTAAGCAAAGGCTAAGCGGCTAAACTCCGTAAACACATACAAAAAACCCGCTTGGCCTGGTAACACGCGGAGGCCAAGCCTTATCCAACTAATTACTCCTACGGCCCTACACTTACTTACAAGATTTGTGAAGGAACGCCCGAAGGAATGCCTGATGTGTGCACGGCAACAGAATCAGAATGTTTCCTTTGGCCTAGGGCCTAGGCCTAGGGCCCAACAGAACCGACCTGCGTAGCATGTTTCCATGACCGCGCCTCTGACAAAGCAACGGTGCCATCAGCGAAATCTTCATCTTGCAAAAGAATACCCCGGCAGGTACGGCAAGCCTCGGACAAGGATGTGCTGAGAAAGCCAGGATCCTCACACTTCTCCTGTCTCAAGACCTCCACGAGCTTCTTGCGCTTCTGGTTCACCACCTCCTCGGAAACGAGCGGCTTCAGCTTCTCGGCCCAGCCGGCAACCGTCTGCTTCCAAGTCCGGTATTCGGGCAAGTTTGCGAGCTCCGGGAGAGAATTCAATGCTTTTTGGCACAACTCCGACACGCACAAAGCCGAAACTGCGGCCTCGGTCGGAGCCCCGTCGCCCTTGACATTGAAACAGTCCACAGCCTGCTCGAGGGCTTTGAAGCATTGCTTCTGCAAGGTAAGTGTGCCTCCCGGTCTTGAAGATTCGCACCAGGAGTTCGAGGACACCACTGCCACGCCCACAGCATCCACTAGCCTCTGCATCTCCACGGGCCCGGAGGTTGGGTCTGTCTGGGCAGCCATGGCCGCAACAAGATTCTGCATGCACTCCTGAATCGGTCCCCGGATGCTCTCCTCGCTGAAAGCGTAGCCCCAGTAGACCCGTAGGACTTCCTGCATCAGGTTCTCAGAGCGAAAAACACGGAGATGAGAATGCAATTTTGGTATGTCACAGTCACATCTGCTAGTGACTAGGTGTAGGCCACAAGGCAAGGCTCTTTATTTCTGTACGACATAGACATAGACGTGGCATGAGAGCAACTACATAGCCTCGGGCCTCTGGCATGGCCTGGGGCATCTGGCGACACTAATTTCCACGTTCAGTGTATGTGCTCCCACCTGGCCTTGTAGTGCGGACTGGCCTTCAAAGTTTGCCCAATCCTGGCTCGCACTTTCTGGGTTTCGGCTGGGTTGGGGTTGGGAGCCCATAACCATAACTCTGAAACCTGCAACCCTTTCAATCCAATCACAAGTTCCAAGCGGCCATGCGAAAACCTCAACACCTGAGCCCCATGCCAAAACCCTTTCAACTAAAGCCAATGCCTTAAATTTTAAACACCGAAGACCCCGAGTCTTTAGCTAGCAGCTAGCTAGCCAGCTGCAAACAAGAGGCGTGTACAGCACAGACGTGGTGTTCTTCTCATCGGACAGACTCTTCACTGCGTTGCTTGACAAGACCTGTGGGCCGGAGGATGCGGAAGTCGGGGCGCCCGAATCACTGTTGCCTGCCGCACTGAAAAACCCATTGGAGCTGATCGCAACCAGGCCAATCAGAGAAGTCAGGGCCTGCCGCACGGAAGCCTGTGCATTGGCATACCCATCAGCAACGGGCATGCCAGAAGCGGACTTGGTGAGCACATCCACGCAGCGGGCCCCACATTGGGAGGCCTGCGCAAGCTTCTCCTGTCCCTCCTTGCCCTCCCGGATGAGTGTGAGAATCTTTCCCAAGAATGCCTTCTCAAAGATCTTCACCTTGTCAGCCATGGAGGTGTGGTTGCAATCCTTCAGCATGGGGTGAACCACGTCAAAGGTGCCCTCGCTGCCCTCGCTGTCCTGGTTCTGAAAGTTTCGATTCTAGATTCTAGAATCTAGATTCTAGATTCTAGAGTAGAGGATTTCGAGATGACTGCTACTTAGAATCTAACATCTCAAGCTAGCAGCTAGCTTGAGATGTTAGACTTTAACCGTTAGAGTCACAGATTTCTTGATTTTATCGAGCACGAAAACCCGTCCTCCTGCCGCATGGTGTCATTGGTGCCGTCCGCCGGTCGCGGCGCATCCGCACCGGTGTTCGGGTTCTGATCCTCTGTCATTGCGCCATGACTGCCATGACACCCCCTCATCTTTAGGATTTAGAACTTTATGCATCCTTCTTGTCCTCCTACGGCCCTACTCCCTACTTGAGGGTTTATCCCTCCGGCATAAACCCTCAAAGACCTTAAAGTTTAGCTTTGCAGCTTTGCGGCTTTGCAGTGATAATTGCTTGTCCTCGGCTACGCGGGTAACTCGGAAATCCCAAACTTCCCTAAGCCCTGAGCCCTTAACTCGGCAACCTGTAACAAGTCCAACCCCCATTTAACAATTCTCAATACCAATACCGGTGAAACCCAGACCCAGGGACCCAGAGCTGTCCTTCGTTTCACTGGCACACTTCAGCTGGAAGTCTTTCTCCGAGAAGGGCAAAGGACACGTACATGCCCAGAAGAGAGACTCATCTGGGCCGCATTCTTTTTGCACACGTGCCACCATGGCCAGCTGCACCTGCTTTGGCACCTCATCGCCTTTGATGTGGGGTTTGATCAGCTCGGCGTGGATCTGGTCGAAAGTCTGTTGACTAGTGACTAGACTAGAGCCTATAATACCACAATTGTGCTCAAGAGAAACCATAACTGTAGCAGCTGCGCCGGCTGTGGCTACGAGTTTCGCGGATCTCAAAACCATGCGAATGCTAGCTGCTAGCTGCTGCTAGCTATTGATTGTCAGGACACCTTCTTTCATCTGCACCATAACCATAGCCATAACCATAACCATAACCATAACCGTCATAACCCTGGCCCTGCCCCTGAAAGCACCCCAGCGGACCTAGCCTAGCCACCCAGCCATAGCCGCGTTGCCGCAGCCGAGTAGCCATACCGAAACCCCGAATGCCATACTGCCCTATACGGCCCTATACCCTGCCCCACGGCCGATTAAAAGATTACAGCAGTAGTATAATAGGATTCTCGTAGCTGTAAACGTTTTAATAGCCGATAGCCTTAACTCTTCAGTGAAACTCTGTGAAACAACATCCCGCCTTCACCTGTTCCAACGGAATTTGGGACAGCTCTGCCGGAGTCAACATGAGGGCGGCCGTACAAACAGCGTGGTCCCGCTCCAAATCTGCAGCGTCTGCTGTGAGGCCTTTCTTTTCCAGCGATGTCATGAACTTGCTGATGAAATACAACTGCTGTTTCGTGACTGTGCCGCTCAGCACCTTCGAAACAGACAAATTTGCTTTGTGCTCCGCGATCAGCTTGTCCATGGCATCCTGTCCCCGAACCCTTGATGTCCCGCTCTTCGAGTCATCATCCTTTCTCGGTTTTTTGGATGGCTTGCTCTTGTCACACTTCTCCTTCGGCTCCTTGTCCCTGACCTTGTTGTCCTGGTCCTTCCTCTTTTTCTTGCCGCCTTTTCCTCTTGGAGTTTCCTCTGCCTCCGCGGGGGACAGTCCGACTCCAGACACCGGCAGAGCCAAGCCAGGCGTTGGCAGTTCTGCCTCGATGATTGTCACCTGCAGCACAGGGCATAGGCATAGGCAAGTCGCAAGCCGGCCAAGGCCAGGCAAACGGCAAAAGCAAGTTACAAGCAGCTTGTGGGACTCTGGATTTTCAGGTTAATGACATTCACGCTGCAGTCGCTGGGCCGGCATGGGGCGTGGGGGTTTGTCAGGTGACGACACTGTCTGTGGATTCCTGTGCCTGTGCTGTGGATTCCTGCGCGCTAGAATCTAAAATCTAGAATCTAGAATCACATGAAACTGAAGCGAACTCAAACTCAAGCCGCTCCAGCCTGCTCAGGCTCAGCCGATGCCAGCGACTCCAAAAGCTCGTCTATTTCCATTTCCGCCCTCGGCTTCACACTGCCGGATGCGGCCACGGTGCTCTTCTTCTTGAGCTCCTCAGCCTTTTTCAGCATCTGCTCGGGGGTGTACTGTGGCAGCTCCACTTTGATGGAGTTGTTGTGTGCGTGAGCTTTCTGAAAGCTAGAGTACCCTTCGAGGCCTTGCTGCGGTCGAAGAGTGTTTCGAGCCGCCAGCTGAACGTCCTCACCGGGCAACCGATGCTGCGAGGTGAAAGGTGAAAGTCAACAGGCACAGCAAGGAACAAGAATCGTGCAACACCAAAATCAGGCGGAATCAGCCAAGTCCGAAATCACTTCTCACAAGGCCATGGCCACCACGCGCAGGGGCAAACACAATCAGATCACAAAGAACAGAGACAACATGAAAACAACACGCAAGTAACCAACTAAGGGATATGCCGTGACTAAATTGCTTCTCACGTGAAGCAGAATCACGGACATGGGCCATGGGCATGGAGGCTCCCGCTTCCGCTTCAGATTCAGATCATAAACTTAGAATACTTTGAGTCGCTCAAAGATTTTGTTGAAGTTTAGTTCCGTTCGGAACTTGAGGTCCTCTAAAATCTAACTTGAGGTACTTTGGGCCGCAATAACAGAAGAGTCAACAACAAACGCTGGCCGCTGGCCCTATCCGACCCTATCCAGCCTTGTAACAATACTCGTGCACGGAGTATCTGACCAAACGCCGATGAAGCCTCTCGGGATCGCGAAGGAGAACCCCAGTCATCTCATTCCCATACTCATCCTCTTCAGTTGTGATTAGGTGGCTGAGCTCCGTGTGCTCCGCTGGTTTCACACCGAATGTTTGCTCGAACTCCGCCATGGAGTAGAAGATGAAGTAGGTTTCGATTCTGCTGCCCGTGCGCTTGACTTTGTCCAGCTCCTCCTCCCTGAAGCTGCGAATCATGTCCGGGTTCAGATGGTAAGCCCTGGCCTTCCCGAACTCGTCTGCAAATTGCGGCTCCCTTTTCTTGCGCGAAGAAAGATCTGTCAAGGTCGACTGGGGATAGCTTTTCAAAGCTGTCCTCGAACAGGCTTGGCAGAAGACGTTGTGGGGCAACTTCACTCTCAGATCGTCCACCGTGCAAATCTTCCAGCTTGCCCAAAGAGGCCCTGCCGGCCGTATGGTCATAGCCTGACATCGTTCGGCCGAGAGTCCTAGAATCCTAGAATTGGGCTTACCCCGCACTCTACATTCTAGAGTCTAGAAGCCCCGGCCTGGAATACTAGAGTCTAGAGCCCCTCAAGGTGACCTCGTAACCTCGGCCTGCGACAGACTCACACAAGTTCACGAAGACTGTGACTATGACTAGACGTCACTAGACTCACTAGACTCTCTTTACTCTAGACTCTAGACTCCAGACTCGGAATAACAGAAATAGAACATTTAGTATAAAATAGAATAGAACATGGGACATAGACTCAGACATAGAACATAGACATGACATAGACATAGAATCAGAGAACAGCATGAAAAGAATACAGTGAATACAGGATCTCATTTCCCGGACTCCAACCCGCCGACCCGGCCTGAGCAGTCGCACTTGCCGCCTGTCCGGCACCCTGCTGACTCTGTTGCTCGCACACGACCAACGTCAGCTTGGCAATGCAAAGAATCACCGCTCGTTCCCCGCAGAGATCGCACACCAATGTTTCACAGTGATGCGTGATGAGGCCCTGCAGCTTCAGGAGCTGCACTTGCGAGAACGAATGACCGACAACTTCATTGCCATGCTGGTCTTGCAGTGCGTACGCAAGTGCCCCCGGCTTCTTGTCACCGCCACTCAGAGGCTTCTTGTTGTCCTTCGCATCTCTCACAGGGACCTCCTTCTTGTCACCCTTCTTGTCCTTTTTCTTCTTGGCCTTCTTTTCGGCTTCATCTTCCTTCTCATGATCACTTGCCAAGAAATCTGACAAGTCGCTGGGCATGCCCTCATCCGACATGTCATCATCGAACAAGTCCGCCATGTCCCGTCACAGGCGACTAGTGACGAGTGGCTCGGATCTTTCAGTCTCGGCTGATTGGCGAGCGGGAGCGTCTAATCTAGATCTAGAGTCTACAATTTACAAGCACTCACTACAATTCAATAATCAATGTCCTGCGCGACTCTGGACAGCTCCTGAGCTCCTGTCTCAAAAGCGCCTCCGCTCTTTGTCCCATTGCAAGATGTGACACAGACAACACAGTTTGGACTCTGGATTATGGACTCTGAACTCTCTGGCCAAGCACATGGCACGTCGAATGCAAGTTCGATTCAATGCTGAGCTGCCAGGCCGCTGCGCATGGAATCGCAGAGAAACAATAACCATTACTCCCGACGTGACATAAGGGCCTATCATAAGTCATAAGTCATAAGGGCAGCTTGAAATGATTCAGCTTCTCGTTATGCCGTGCTGCCACGAGAGTCACGAGAGCCATGGGCCATGGGGCCGTGACCAAGGACGAATTGCGAATCTGTTGCTAATCAATGCGCACAAACAGAGACCAGCTTCCCAGCAACACCCGCAAGCACTTGTCACATGTCAGACGAAATGGAAACGCACAACCTCTACCTGACTCTACCCACGCGCCTCGGGCCTGGGGCCTAGGACCTAGTTTAGTAGGTTAGTAGGGCTATCATACTCACAATACCACAATACGACGATTCCAAAGATGAAGATGACGAGGCCAAGAAGCGCTGCCACTGGGCCACTGATCACTGCTGCGCGGCTTATGATGATGCTGGCACAGAGCATACAGACGATTGACACCTTCATTGCTGCTATGTTGCGCTATTGATATTGATTGTTGCATTTATTCGAGGTGCCCAACAAGCCGACGGGCCAACTGCCAGACCTAACCTGCCTATGGCTATGGCGGCTATGACATTGATCATTATGACTATGACTATGATCTATGAACTATGCCAACTATGCGTCTCCTACAGTCCTACAGTCCTACAGAATCTATGACTATCACATATTTGCAAAAGCATGAAAGTCTCGCCCGTTAAAGCAGCAATACCAAAACGCACACGCCCCAAGGACAAGCGCAATTCCGGAACAAGGAACTGAATCTATCAATTGCACGGGCTTCTTGAGAAGATTGTATAGAAATCTATCGAAGTGACAACCCCCTCCTCGCTAGCCGGGCTAGCCGCTTGTCAGGAATGACACTTGTCTTGGGGCCAAGAACAGGTGGGAAAATCGAGTCATTTTTTTTGTTGTGTTCTTTCCTTGAGACACAGACATAGAACCTGGCCACACGGATGGGTTTCACCGTCGCACACGTCACTAGAATCTAGGTTTGTTCAAGTTCAAGATCCAAGCCCGAACACTGAAGTCACTGAAGCCTCACAGAACTCTTGAAAATGCATACAACTTACTCCGAACCGTAAACCAATCTCTTTGCTAATGGGTTTCAGATGTCCAGCTTCTAGATTTACATTCATTCTTGTCACTCTTGTCTTATGAAGACACCTAAGACCTAAGTGACCTAAGTCCTGAGACTCTAAGACTACGACAATTAGGCGTTAGATTTGCCGATATACAGTACCTTTTTGCCCAATGCCAATGCTTTTTTTGTAACCAGGTAACCGGGACCTAGCTGTTAGCTCAGCGAACGAGATGACATATCCAGTTACCAACCACCATACTGATTTTTGTTACTAGTTCAGAAGCTGGGGGCTCTGGTGAAGCCCCCAGGGCCAGGGCTGCCAGGTGTTGTGTCTTGCGACATCCAAAAGAATTCTTCCAATCGGCGGTCGCACATCCCAGTCCCAGAACTAACAACTACAGTAACTAGATAACTAGAGGTCCCAGTGAATCCTAGTGACGGTCCTAGTGACTCTAGTGACGACTCAGTAGTGACTAGTGACTTGGTGCCCCGGTGACAATGTAGTGTAGGGATCTAGAATCTAAAATCTAGAATGTAGCAATCGAGGATTTACGGTCATAGTCGTAGGTTTACATATTTCTAGCTCAGGGCCGGGGACCCTGGGATAATGTAGGGGTACGTCAAGGCCAAGGCCAAGGCAAGGTCAATGATCCGTGATTCTTGATGAAGACTTTTCTCTTTGGTTGCTGTATTAATAACAGACTTTAGTTAGTTCCCAACCCCACGTCTCTCCACGCACCTTTGCTATATGCTTGAATTGAAGAAAACATCATTGCAACAAACGTATGTATAACATAAGGCATAAGGAAAGTGTCTAGGCAAAGCATGTCTAAACTAAACTGAGGACCAAGGCACGTACTAGTAACTAGTAACTAGTAGACCTTCGTGATTGTGCGACTGTGCCGCTGGGCCCTGGATCGTGCCACGCTGCCAATGTGCGGACGGTCTGCAATGGCAAAGGCTGCAAAGGTACCAGTGTACAGTCTACGGCGTAGTCTACAGTCTACAGCGTAGTCTAGAGTTTACAGCAAAGATTCAGGAGTAGCTACGGAGCTGTATAGTATATAGTATAAAGTATAAAGTATAAAGTATAATAGTGGTATAGCAGCATAGCACAAAGTGATATAGTACGAGTGACACTTACTTGCGCATATGGCATAGCGGCAGTTAGTGATGTTCAGAAGCTGTAGGAGTCGCAGCAGTAGTAGCAGCAGCTACAACTAAAGCTAACAGCTAAAGCAGCATTTGCCTGGCAAGTGTGAGTAGACTAGACTGACTAGCAGTAAATTTCATCAGGGTCGACAGATTCTGTAGTTCTGTAATTTAGGTAGTTCTAGATTCTAGGTCTCTAGGTCTAGTCTAGGTCTGGGTCTGGGTACCCCAGGCCCCAGAACCGGAGCAGACGGGGTATTACTAATATTAGTAACGAAAAGCCCCACAAAGCAAGCCGCAGCGAGACAGAGAGACTGAGAAAAACGGAGAGCGAAACTGCTTTACTAAACGTGTCGCCCGCTTCGCCCAACCCCCTTTGACCCCAAGAATCCAAGAAGAATCCCAAGAAGAAGCTTAGGCCCGTGCACACCTGATTTTATCAGCAGAAACTTGTTTGTTTTTGACAGACCACCCTCACAGGCCCTAACTAAACCGGACTAGACTAGAATGACTAGAATCTAGAATCTAGTCACGAGATTCACTAGAATTCTAAGATTCACTAGGTCACTAGATTCACTCGTCATCATGCAGCAAGCCTGGCAGACGTGGCAGTGCAGCTGACAGAAGGCTGGCGCACACTATAGTCACACTCGGCAGGCTCATGGCATTCCCAACGAGGTCAGCTATCTCCCCTTGAGAAAGGGAAGGGTACAAACACTTTGTCGAGAAGCCGAGCAGACGGAGCCCTTCCATCGGCAAGACCAAGCGATCATGCTCAAAGCTATACAGTGATGTGCTTGCCAACAGCGTTCTCAGTCCCCAAGGTTTCCGCTCCAGAGCCTGGCTCACGTCGACCACAAGGTTCCGGATGATGTCACTGTTTTCCGCAGCAGAGCCACCCTTCGAAAGCTTTGTGAACAAAAACGCCAGATCGATCATTGCCCTCGTTCTCGGCAAGCATCCTTGAGGCCCGCCCAAGCCCTGCAAGCGGGCCGCCCCTGTCCATGGTTTCGACTGGTGCCGAAGGTCTGGCGGAAGCTCCGACCGCAGCGCCTTCTCTTGAGCCTGCCACTTGGTGCCAGCCGAACTGCTGGTCGCGGTCTTTGGCCTTTTGTTTGCCTGGCTGGGTGGAAGCTACCGGTCGAGGGAACTGCTGCCATCATGCCTAGCAGCCTAGCGGTAGGCCCCTAAGATTCCAGGCTCTGCTTCGATTCTATGTTGCGTTTCTATTCCTGGGTCCTAGGTCCTAGGTCCCTAGGTAGACTTCGGTCGGTCATGAGTCAGTAGTCACCAGCCACTTGTCACTAGTCACCAGTCTCTAACTCTAGTCACAGTCAAGAGTCAATGGCCATGGTGTCTTGCGGCACGGGAACAGCTCTGACTCTCACTTTTTGTTTATAAATTGGCCTATAATCACAGTCTTTACTCAGTCGCGATCAAGTCAAGTCTACAATTCTGTCCACAATTTACAATCTGAAGTTCACATTCGACATGAGTGTTAAAAGTGTTCCTAACTCATGGTACCTTATGCCTTATGCCGCACTTATGCCCACTGTTTCAGGTGCTTGTACCCTCGGCCACTAGGTCACTAGGGCCCCCCATTGCTCTCTGTCTCTTTCTTTCGCCCATTGCTCTCTGTCTCTCTCTCTCTCTCTCTTTTTCTCTTTCTCTCTTTCACTGTAGACTCTGTATCTCTTTGTCTTTCTTTCTGCAGGCCTGAAGGGGAGGTCGCCCTGTCCCTGTCTACCTACCTGAGTCTACCTTGCCCTTGCATTGATTTTAAACTCGAATTTTCCTGACTACTGCTCCCAATTGCGATGCTACCTACAGTCCGTGGAGCTTAAGAGTGTGCAGCGGAATCTACCTACCTACAATGATTTGCATTGGTAATTAGTAATCGTTAACCAGTAATCACTACCCACCCATTAGTCATTAGTCACGAGTCAAGTCATTATCCTTAGTCAGTACTCTTGAATCACTTGAATGTCGGATAGACTCTATAGACTACTATATACTATAGACTGACACTTCACTACTCATACTCACTACTCACTACGTGACTACCCTACATTTTGTGAATGTCACGGCAGCAGCCACAGTGACAGCAAAAGCTGTGAGTGCTTTGCTGTGGGTGCTGTAGTTTAGTTGTAGATCTGTAGCTACTGTAGCTGTAAACCAGTAACTGTTACTGTTCACACGGCCCCGGGCTCTCTGGGGTCATGGGGACTCAAAAATAAGCAGTTCTTTGGTCACATGGTCACTGACAGTGTTCTCCTGGCCTTGTTTTTCTGCCTTTTTTAATTCAATTTTGTAAGTGGTGTTGTCGTAGTTTTTCTATTTTGGTTTCATTTTTTCTATTTTTTTTTCATTTTATTTCCATTTTTTTCTATTTTTTTTTATTTTTTCTATTTTTTTTGATTTTTATATCTATTCTATTTTT